ATATAGTGTGTGTGTGTGTGTGTGTGTGTGTGTGTGTGTGTGTGTGTGTGTGTGCGCTTTAATATGAGTAACCAAAGACGTGACAGAATCTGATGAGGGGTAACAGGCTGCCACTTCTCTCTTCTCGTTCAACAGCTTGACTTGCTTATGGCGCCACCTGGTGGTGTGAATTATAAATAAAACGTTGGACGGAAAATGTATATATTCAGAAATATATAGAGAGGACCATTGTAACGAATTATAATCCAGTAAAGATAGGCAAAATTAATTTACGTTTAATAATATTTATATTTTGCATTATATGAAACATTATGCTAAGTAATTATTATTAGTTCAAGTTCAAGTAGGTTTTATTGTCATTTCATCCCATGTGGTACATGAGGTGGAAAAAATTGCGTACAGAGAGTTCCAGTTACATCCAGAAATAGAAAAATTATAAAGTATCAAAAGAAACGGTAAATAAGGATCTAAGATATACACTAATATATACACTTAACACTAATAGTGCAAAACAATACGCCGAAAAACAGCAGCACGAACACCAGACTGTGTGAGTAGATGGGTACGAATGGATACAGCACCATGAAATGATCAGCAGCATGAGATCAGCAGCATATATCATCAATCAAAGTGGCGTTACAGTGATTTTTTTAAATTATTTTATTATTGCAAGGTACATGCAATTTAAATGTATTCACTAATATGCTAATTTGTACAGGTAATTTAAAACAGTATGACGCATTCTTTTATTGACACAGTAGACAACAGTTAAGAAAACAAACTATGGGGAATGGCATGTTTTTATTCCTCCGTGACGGGAGGTGGCGCTAAATAGCGACTATTAGCGAAAGAAAGCGAAGAAGAAGAAGTTCCTTCTTTCCAATATGGCTGCTCTCACATGTAAACATGCGACCTGATGTGTTAGTTTATCGTACTCGAATAAAACTGTGCTGTAGTTTTTACTTACCGCACCTGGTTCGTGCGGGAGGTACCGTGCAGTTTAACAGTGACCTCCGGTCCTGAAACTCCAGTCTGTGAGTTAGCATCGAGCTGTTAGCAGGGAGACGTCATGTCAGCGCACACTTTGTACGTGAACTCTCTGCCAGCAGCAGCTACCAACGAGCGGCTAGAGCAAATATTCTCTGAAGTTGGACCGGTGAAACAGTGCTTCGTGGTCAAAGAAAAAGGTGCTTTTCTCCTTGATAATTATATTTTATATGTTACTAACCTACATTTATTTCTGACAAGACGTTTGAGTCCGTTATGCTTTATTTGCCAAGTCTGTAATTCGTTTTTATAATTAAATTAACCAGGCACGGAAAAATGTCGGGGGTTTGGCTTTGTCACATACGCCATGGAAGAAGATGCTCAACGAGCTTTGAAAGAAATCAAAGATTACGACGGAAAGAAACTGTCCCTGAAAGTGGCAAATAAGAAAATTAAAGACAAAAAGAAAGCAGGTTGGTGTTGTTTTACGCAATGTAAGCTGGAGAAATAGTTTTGATGTACATTTAATTCACAAAATGTTGTTCCAGTTGCAGATAAGGAGTCATCTGATGCACCAGATCAAGCCGAGCAGAAAACCAAATATATCAGGCAGAGAATATCTAAAAACTTCAGACTGATTATCAGGAATCTCAGTTTTAAGGTATAGTAGTGCTGTATGTTAATTAAAGTACAATATAAATACACACAAACATGTGCTAATTTGGGTTTTGCGTTGCAGTGCACAGAAGATGATCTTAAAGAAGTGTTTGGAAAGTTTGGAACTGTTGTTGAAGCCAATATTCCTCTGAAACCTGGTACAAACTCCTCTAAGTTTGACTAAATTTATAACTTATTCTGAAACTCAGTCCTGTTCAATTCTCATTTTCTCTTCTTTACTAGATGGCAAGATGCGTGGATTTGCATTTGTTCAGTTCAAAAATGTGTCTGGTGCCACAAAGGCTATTGAACTAATGAACCTGAAAGAAATAAAAGGTTAGTGAGCAAGTTGGGTTTTGCTGAACAAACAACAGGAAATAAGTTGTCTACTTTGTGTCATATGTTTTTATTTTTGTTGACAGGTCGACAGGTAGCAGTAGATTGGGCTGTGCCAAAAGACAAGTATATTACTGCTCAGCAATCTACAAGCTCAGGTAAACAAATTCACCTTTTTTTTTTGGCAATATGATCAGTTGGCAAGAAGACAGTATTTGACTTTCTGCTGAAGATTTTCTTTGATCTTGAAAAAAAAAATCACATTTTATGTCATCCATGGGTCTACAGCCCTTTGCCCACATATTCTTGATCAGTGCATTAACTGGTTCTAACAGTGTTGTTGTATTATTATATTTTTTTAGATAATAAGGTTTCAGAGGAGAAAAGCACAAACACAGGAAGCAATACTGATGAAGACCATGATAATCAGCAGAAAGAAGCTACTGCTGGGAAGAAAAAGTGTGAAGCTTAATTTTGTTTGTTTGGAAAATATTTTTCTAAATGTTATAAACCAGCTGAATATTTATTGTGCCAGCTGATGTCTGGAATATTTTTACAGAGTTGGGTTAGCAGCAGCTGATACGACTCAGTCAAGTGATGAAGATGAGAGTGAGGAGCAAAACAGTGAGGAGGAGGATGAGGAGGAGGAGGAGGATGACAGTGAAAGTCATGAAGAAGAAGAAGAAGAAGAAGAAGATGATGATGATGATGATGAGGACATCCTAGATTCAAATGATGATCGTGATGAGAATGAGGATGAAGAAGGAGATCAAGAAACTCTGCCAGGTTTGATCAGATCGTTTCTTTGCTTGCGTTTTGTCTGCAATTGTTTATTTGTAAACAAAAACAATAAATGTTTTGACATGTCCCGTCTGCTGTTTTAATTTCTAGCTCCAAAGAAAACTAAAAAGCTCCTGCCTTCGGACGTGAACGAGGGTCGAACAGTTTTTATCAGGTGGCTCAAATGGTTTTTCTCCTACACTCTTGTTGTCAGTGATAAACGTCCAACATGGTTCTCTCGGTGCAGTTAAACACATTTATTGTGTTAATGCTGCTTATCAATCTCACTTTCAGAAACTTGGCCTTTGACACGGTTGAGGAAGACCTTGAGGAAGTTCTCCTTCGGTTCGGAGAGCTCAACTACGTCAAGATTGTTGTCAATCCAGACACGGAGCATTCTAGAGGTCAGCACTGCTCGAGTCATTTTGTTTTTACCTGTTTATTTATTGTAGAGAACCCTTTTGTCAACCTTTTTACATTTTCCCAGGTTGTGCGTTTGCTCAGTTTAAGACCAAAGAGGCTGTAGACAAATGCATCGCTGCAGCCCAGGATGAAGCCGAGGTAAATGACGGATCATCGTTTTCCTGTTGTATCTTTGAGTTTATAACGTTGGTGTCCTGCTTCATAAGCTGACGTTGCTGCCGTGTTACATCTGTTTTAGAACCGGGGCGTCCGTCTGGATGGCAGAAAGCTGTCGATTGTTGCAGCAGTGAGCAGAGACGACGCCACAAAGTTGAAAGAGAATAAGAAAAAAGTAGAGAAAGGCAGCAGGAACTTGTACCTGGCTAGAGAGGGATGTGAGTGTTTCATAGTACTTGTTTATTTGTCTTCATATCAGCATTGTGTTACTCATTACCTGAAGGAGCCTGTCTTGGAAATGTAAACTTTTAAGGGTAGATGCTGAAATACTCCTAAATCTGTTCTCTCTGGACCGTCAGTGATCCGTGCAGGAACCAAGGCTGCAGAAGGCGTATCAGAGTTAGACATGAACAAAAGAGCCAGGGTGAGAACCGTTTTTAATCATCGCTGTTTTCGAAAATGATTGTCTGCGTGCGATGTCTTTTAAATAACTCCTGCCATGACTCTTTTTTTTTTTTTTTTTTTTTTTTTTTTTTTAGTTTGAGGAACTAAAGCGGACCAAGCTCCGGGACATCAATGTGTTCGTGTCAAAGACTCGTCTGTGCGTTCATAACCTGCCTAAATCAGTGGACAACAGAAAACTCCGAACTTTCTGCCTTCAAGCTGTAAAAGGAGTGCAGCGTGCACGAATCACAGAGGTGACGATGTGGACGACGGTTTATACGGCGATGGAGAATTAGTCTGTCGGAGCTTTTTTAGAGCTTTTAATGTGTTCATTGTCTTTAGTCAACTTGAGTGTTGCATCTGTGAGCCAAGCACAGGATGTTGTGCTCGTCACAATTTAAAATTTTTTTTTTTAAATTTATTTCTACCTCTTTTAGTGTCGAATCATGTATGACAAGAAGCCAGAGAAGGGCCAGCCGACGGGACAGTCGTTGGGCTACGGCTTTGTTCAGTTTCAGGACCATGAGAATGCTCTCAGCACGCTGCGCTACCTGAACAACAACCCTGACATCTTTGGCCCGCAAAAGGTAATAATAAAAAAATAAATTACATTAATGCTAAAATGAGTTCATTGTTATTAAAATAAATCTTATTCTGCCTTTGCTGCCCCTCATCATTAATCTGTCTAGCAACTTTTATCTTTTACAAAACTAATATCACAAAATGATCCTCCAAATCAAATGTATATTTCTGCTGCATATACAGTATTTTTTAAAAAAACAAAAGGAAAGTTCAGAATGTGTTGCGATGGGCGTCTAAAATATATATTTTTATGTTTTGTGTATTTTCTTCAGCGACCCATTGTTGAGTTTTCCCTGGAGGATTGTAGGAAACTGAAACTTAAAGAACTTCGAAAGCAGAAACAAAAGGTTTGTACTAATTTGTGTGATAGTTGCAAGTTAAAACCTTTGTTCAAATTTAGGAAAGTTTTGTCTATAATTGAAAGTTTTCTTAATGAAGGTTTATATTTGCAGGAATTTTTACAAAATCGGTCTTTGAAGGGAAAACAGTCCCAGGTATCTGGGTCTGGTGGAAAAAAAGCCCAGTCTTTGTCCGAGCAGACAGGTAAGGAGTAATGGTTTCCTTTTTTTAATCATCTACTGATAATCATATAGAAATA